CTCTCTCTCTCTCTCTCTCTCTCTCTCTCTCTCTCTCTCTCTGCCTCACACATACATACACACACTCATCCTAAAGTTGGTCCCCTATCCGGGTACGCACCCTCGCGGGGGCAAAAAGCTAAGAACGGCCGTTAGCGCTCGTTCCAAGGGCGAGGAGCGAAAGGAATGGTTTAAAAATGGCGTTCTTTCTAATTACGTCCCGCCTTACCTTCTTGGTTATCGCGACTTCAACGGGGAAGTGCACGTAGCGAAGGAGAAAGAGAGACACGAGTCGAACGGGAGGGGTGAATAAGGGGCTACTGGAAAAAAGAACGAGAGGAATAGAGAAAAAAGAGAGAAAGGGACGGGGTGCGCGCTGAGTAAGAGAGCGTAGTGTAGGATGGCTGGGATTTATTACGTTCCGGTAGGCGGACGAGAGGGTGGAGGAGAGACGGAGAGGAGACGAACGTTACACCGTGGCGGAATAAAAATCTCGCGTTAAGGCAGAGCAAATGGCGTAAAAGTCAAAATTAAATGGGCGGAGACGAAACGATCGCAGGGGCAGTTAAAAGTCTTACGATCGGGATGGGATTGAGTAATCGCGAGCGCGAGGACGCGTTAGTGCGGCGAATGTCTGCGGTATATATCACACCCTCGTCAGCACGCGAAATAAGCGTGGTTATGAAATCTCGCGCGTGTGCACGTCGCAATCGAGCCTGACGTTCGCATCTCACGAGCGCGGGATAGAGGAAGGTGCGCAAAGTTTACGACGACACGATCGAATAAACACGGTTTAGACGCAGCGACGCGAATACGCTCGTTACATCGGCCGTTTGTGCACAAGATGAATGCGGTTGATTTAGAAGTAGAGGAATAACGATAGAGAGCATACCTCGCGAACAGACGCTATCAATCGCGAATAATATCGCGAGCACTCGATTCGTTCTAGTCGTTAACAAGTCTCGCGATCGAAGCGAGTGAAACGAAAACCGTATCGCAAAATCGAAAGAAGAACAGAAAAAGAGAAAGAGGGAGAAAAAGACAGACAGACATAGAGACATAAAGAGAGATAGTAGTAGATCAGTGACGCGGAAGAATACGATACAAGAACGCAGAAATGAGCCAATGAAATAAAGAAGTGGCTACGTTCCTCGTCAAGAATCGCAGGAAAAGACAGAGAGAGAGAGAGAGAGAGAGAACGAGCTTTTTATCTCTGCGATATCCTCGGCAGGAAATGAAAAGCGTTTCGACCAAAGAGAGAGTAAAGTACATCGCCCCATACATATCAATATGGAGGGCGTGTGTATGCGCCGAGATGTAGGCAATATGAAATTTTTAAGCCGTGAACTTGAAGGCGAGCACGCGGCTGCACGCGGTGAGCTGGTTAGCATAAATAAATAAAAGATGCGTCGAACATCGAGAGCTTCCCTGCTCGCAGTCCTTCCCTCTCTGCTCCTCTCCCTCTCGCCCCACCCTCGCTCGGATAAGTCGTTCGCGAAGATTGCAAAGTGCATGTTTAATTGCGACTTAATTATGATGACGTGAAAATCGAGTCGCACGAGTCGATTGAACCGACAAAGATACGCGCTGACGTTTAATGCACAGTTGCGCATTTTTTTTTAAACATATTTTTCAACATATTTTCTCTCTGTCGCGAAAAAATCACACGAGGTGTCCGTCGGATACGTGATTTATCGCGCGCGTCGCTACGGGAGTAACTTTCTGGTGCTTCTTCTTCATTCGCGAGAAAGAGTGAACTTTTATTAATATGAAACCACAATAAAAATTCTCCTGCCAGTCACGTTGAATATTTTCAGAAGCGATACACGAACGTCTTGAACGCAATATCGCTGCTAAAGTCTCCGAAGGGGAGACTCTGTCTTTTCAAAGACACTTCCTTCTTCATTACACGGACGCCGACTGCGATCGTAGATTAATTTCCGAGCGCTAATTCCGATTTTGCGAGAGGTTAAATATCGCATGACAAGTTTAATTTAAGGAATTTTTCGTAAATTTTATTATTCCCATCGCGAATATCTCGTTGCTCGTTATCGTCTCCCATTATTCCACACCGACTTATCTTTTATAACTACGATATTCCACATTTCACATTTTACATTTCATGTATAGTGTTTCTATTCTGCCGATATGTAACACACACGCGCGCGCGCACACAACTAAC